TGTGTTCAGCCCCTGCGGTGCGCTCCCCCCTGGCACGCTGACGGCAGCAGGACACGGACCCTCGCCTCCCGTCCCACCGATGTGGGATCCGTAGGGTCGGCGCATGATGGTCAGGGGTGTGCGACCCCCTCACGGGCTGCGCTCCTGGCTCAGGCGCTGCTGCAGGAGGTCCCAGGCCTTCTCCACCTGCCAAAGAACCCACACGGGGCGGCACCTCAGAGCCCACGGCCAAGCCAGAACAAGGCGAGCGGCACCACGGCATGGGCAGGAGCATCACACCAGGGTCCCAGGCTTCCTGTCCCTTCCCTGCTGCATTTACATCCCCAAATTCATCCCTTGTGACCGTGCCCAGAGGCAGCCTCGACGGTGAGCAGCACACCCAGGCACACCACGCGCGACCCGGGCACAACACTGAGCCCTCCGGTCCCCGTCACGGTCACCTGCCTCCCCCTTCACCCCCTGGGACAGACCCCAGTGCCGCAGCCAGCCCGGGGCTCACCTGCTTGCGCGTGACCTCGGGCTCCCAGAGCGTGCACAGCACCACCTGCGACTGCTCCACCCTTTGGCTGTTGGTCATCTGGCTCTGCTGCTGGCTGCGAGCAGCCTCCTCGCTCAGCCCGTCCCTGGCCATGATGCGCTTCACAGCCTGGCAGGACCAGAGGGGACACTCAGGCGCTCGGAGGAGAAGCCGAGACCCAGTCCCAGCACCGAGCAACGGGCCAGGGGCATCGCCCACCTCCTCCTCCGGGATGATGGCCGTCCACACCTCATGGACCATGTCTTGCCAGCCAGCCTCCAGCAGCACGGCAGCGTCCAGCACGCACACGGCCTTTCCTACGGAACGAGGCCATTCCTCATTACCTGGCAATCGCAAGGCAGCGCGACTGCTCCTCGGGGTCTAGCCCCGCCAGGCCACTTACGCTCCAGAGTCACGCCTTCCTGCAAAATGGCAGCGCAGATGCTTTACTGCTGAGCCAAAGAACCTCCCGTGGCAAAGAGCACAGCAGGCGAAGGCTGTGTTTGTTTTAAGGGCACACCCGGGATGGCAGGTCTCCCGGGCACGGCAAGCCAACGCCTTCACCCAAATGCCTATCGAGCTACCAATGGCATCTCCCAAGAGCTGGAAAAAATCTGCTCCCAGAAGGAATACACACCACACTCACTGCTGGAGCACTTCACCAAACCCAACCTTGAAGTCAAGCGGGAAGGAGAAAGCAACCTCCATCCTCCTTCAGAGCCGGACGCCCACGGGAAGCCTGTCCCCGCTGCCGGCCCAGCTGAGCGCAGGGTTTGCTCAGAGATGTGCTAGTGAAAATCCCCAGCAAGCTGCGCCGCAGAGAAGAGGGGGTGTCTGCGCACGGGAAATACTCACGGTACTGCCCAAAGCAGCAGGTTCCCGGAGCTCTGGGTCGCGGTGTGCTGTGTGAGACCGTGCCCCCAACTCCCACCTTCGCGCTGCGATGGGAGCCGCACCACTTACCTTGAGCATCTGCCTCCCTGATCCGCTCCTTGACCATCCGCGCGATCTCAGGCCACATGATGTCCGTGAGACTCTTCAGCCGCTCCTAGAAAAGACCACGATGGGAGTCCTTTACTCGCCCTCAGAACCCCTGAGCAGCCAACAAGGGGACCACTGGTGGCAGCAGTGGTCACAGAGGGCACCCAGAAAGAACCTGCGAAAGCCCCGGGGATGGACCCGGCCCATCGCCTGCTCGCCAAGCGCAAGGAAGGAGAGCTTCCACGCTGGCCAGGGGCTCCCATGCCCGCTGACAGGGTCCAGGCTCTTTTTCCTGTTATTTCCCTTGCCCGGCCAGGCTCAGCAGAACCTCCGTGTCCGCTGCCAGAGGCGCTTTGCAAAGACCCACCCCGCAGCACCGCGAGCTCCCCACGCAGCAGCACCCACGCGAGACCCCTCCATCTTGGGGGAGCCCCTCGAGCCACCTCCGGCCCTGGGCTGGGCCAGCCCGCAGGACCCGAGCGAAGGGCCGAGCGCCGCCCCGGCCGACGCAGCCAGGCGCAGAGGACCAGGTTCGGCTGCTGCGTCACACAGCCCCGCCGGGGACAAGCCCAAACCACCAAAGGGTCAGAGAGCGCCGGCTCCGTGTACGTCAGCGCTGTCGCTCCACACTGGGTGAAGGACAGGAGGGACAGGGGGGGACGGGGACGGGGAGGCAGCAGCAGCGTGTCCAGCACGGCTGCTGACTCGGCTACAGAGACAAGATCTCTATGTCCTGCCCTGTCCGTACGTCACTGCCAGAAAGTACAGTCAGGAAGGCGTCACCAGCTCAAAGGGCTGAAAAATAAAAAGCCTCAGCACAGATGGAGAGTTCCCCGCTCAGGAGATTAAATATTGACAGTCTCTGTGCTGCTCTTACCTGGTTTCCAAACACTTTGGCCCCAAGGACTTTCCTGTTAATCGTCCCATCTTCATTCAGGATTTCTGCAAGACAGAAGCAGAACAGGTTTGGGAGGAATGAATCCAACTCATTTCCCTGCGGCGCGCCTGGGTCAGGGTGAAAGGATTTCAGCTCTCAGAGGGACCCAGAAAGGAGCTGCAGGACCCGACCTGGCAGCTCTTCACCTCACCCCAGAGAAGGACAGGGCAGAGCTTTCCCCAGACCAAGGGCAGCCCGGTTCAGCCTCCCACACCAGCCACTTTACAGCAGCTCCGACATGGGACACGCAAGACGGGGAAAGCAGCAGTTTGCTGCGCTCGGGCCCAACCATCACCGAATCAGCTACAGAGCCCTCCCTGGGCGGTGTGGAGCCCAAAGCCCACGGGGAGGGGGGGACCGCAGGCAGGACAGCGCCCTGGGACGATGGCACACCCCTCCCTCCTCTTCCTCCTCCCAGTCTCCCCCACAGCCTTCGGTGGCTCTACCTGCCCCAAAGGCCGCCACCACCTGCTCGTAGGCAGGGCCACCGGGGACGTAGATGGCATGGCCCAGCTTGTCGGCGTCGATGAGGAAGGCTCCCAGGTGCCCCAGGAGTTTGGCGATGGAGGTTTTCCCACTCCCGGTTCCTCCGGTCAGGCCGATCACGTACGGGCGCGAAGGCAAGGTGGGGTCTTGCTAAGGGAAGAAGGAAAGCCGTTGCCAGCAGACAAGAGGACGTGGGCTCTGCTGGAGAAGGATCCCAACCACCCGGCCTGGAGGTGGGCATGGAGGGTCCTGGTGCTGCAGAGCGGGGCCCTGCCCCTGCTGGGGGCCAGCACAGCCAGCAGGCAGGCAGTCCTCCGAAACTTGTCCCCCTGCGGCAGGGGGACGAGCTGGCTCTTCAGCCCCCAAGGCTGCCACCCCTCCTCCCGGGCACACTGTCACCCACCGCAGCCCGTGGCTCCCCAGGCGTCCCCCCTCACCCGCGGGGGCCGCAGCAGCGTCCCCAGCAGCCTCTGCCGGAGGCTGGAGGAGCTGATCTTCTCCTCCTCGTTCTGACTGTGGTCGGGGTCCTTCATCAACAGGATCTCGTAGAGAGCCAGCTCGGGGAGCCCCTGCCGAGAGGAGAGAGCCCCGAGGGCCGTCAGCCCTGACAGCCACGGGGACACAGCGGAGGGAAGGGGGCTCAGCGGGAGCTCAAGGCCTGACGGAACAGCACAAACAAGGCCATGGCTGCCCCCAGTGTCCCCACAGGGCAGCTCCGTCCCTACGAGGGGCACATTCCCAGCAGCCAAGCGGGGAAGGGAACCCACAGAGGTGCCCGTGTGAGCCGGACCCTCCCCACGTGCAGGGCTGGCGGCGCTGGTTGGGGTCGTGCTGCATGCAGAGGTGCTGCTGCACCACCCTTGAGATGCACGTGGCCGGGGACAGCTCGGTGCAAAGCTCCCAGCTGTGGGTGCCGGGAGGCAC